ACAGAGAGCAAAACGTCGAGCAACGTTTGGCCTGAGGCAATCTGCTTGGCAATATGTTCCTGTGTTGTTGTTGCCCCCCCCCCCCCCCCCCCCCCCCCCCCCCCCCCCCCCCCCCCCCCCCCCCCCCCCCCCCCCCACACACACACACACACACACACTCCTCCTCCCCTCTCCATGGCAGTAANACACACACACACACACACACACTCCTCCTCCCCTCTCCATGGCAGTAAATAACAGAAATTATTAACCAACTGGCGCTCGGTCCTTAAAGCCAGCCCATTTTTTCACTTTGCTTAGCCGTCAATTATCCCTTCAGCAGGAATATTTGTTACAAATCAGGTTGAAATCTGCTCCAACTAATCCTGGATGTTTCTTTATTTCACGTGGGAATGACAAAAATGAGCTCAGATGTATGATCGTGGGGTAAGCCTGTCAAAGATTAGTGATATGTTAAATATGGAAAACTAAAAGCAGCTTACTGAAGGTCCCCACGTCCTGTATGTTGTAGAGCAACGCTGCACTTTTTTTCAGCATTCATGGCCTGGCCTGTGCCCAGTAGGCCCATTCAGTAATCTATCAGTGGGTACAAAAGTATAATAGTTGAACACTTTCTGAAACAATTAATTCCACTCATTCATTCATTTTCTGTAACCACCTGTTCGGGGTTGCGGGGGGCTGGAGCCTATCCCAGCTGACATCGGGCGAGAGGCAGGGTACACCCTGGACAGGTCACCAGACTATCACAGGGCTGACACATAGAGACAGACAACCATTCACACTCACATTCACACCTACGGACAATTTAGAGTCACCAATTAACCTGCATGTCTTTGAACTGTGGGAGGAAGCTGGAGTACCTGGAGAAAACCCACACTGACACAGGGAGAACATGCAAACTGTACACAGAGGAGCTCCCCCACCCCAGGCTGTGAGGCGACAATGCTAACCACTGCGGCCCTGTGCCACTCACAATTATTCCTATATCATAAATATTAACCAGTATATTAAACTGAGGAGAAATGCACAAAAATAGCGTGCTGACTTCTTCTTGCACTTAATAACATCGTCCTGCATCTGTCCTACTCTCTAGTGTCTCTATACAATGAAACAAAATTAGAATATAATACAACAAAAATCATCAGCACTTCTCACCCACACTGATCTTCGTAAAACACATTTTCTCTAAATATTTCCCCATGAGCATCAAACTGCAGCCCAGATGTCTGATCTGATGACTAAGTGCACCTGTGTCAAACCTTTATAGAGCATTTTTTAATTTATTTTTGTGATTTTTTGATAGTTACTAAGACGGGGGAATGCTGACAGTTTAGCTCGTCCAGCTGCTCCTCTCAAAAATCCATAAACAGACGTTACCTGAGTTATTACCTAAGCTCTTAATATGCTACTATAATAATAACTTTTGCACAATGCAGTTTGACATGTTGATGGTTTCACTTAGACTATATAACAGAGAACACCAGACATACCAAGCTCACGTTCAGCACAGTGTCTGTGAGCGCTATAAAAGTCTCAAATCCAGAATGGATCACTGAATCTACAAAAACCTCTATATCAAATCTGATCTAAATCTATTAAATTTATATCTAATCAAAATAAAGTGTGATTATATAAATCCTGGCTCATTTTCTGACGGATTAACCTCAATCAATCTGGTAAAAAGGTTACTGAGCCTCTCTTGGGGCGGAGAGGCTCGTCTAGATTAACAGGGAGAAGCGTGAGACCGTGGGCTGAAGGTGTCGAGGGTCTGAGTTCCCCTCACCCTCCCTGTCCCCTGACACTTAAAGCAGAAACGACATGAGGTCATTTTGCTTTATGAGCTAGCTTTTTGGGGGCGTCAGAGTTATAAACTGCCACAAGTCAAATTCTTTAAATTCTGTCATCTGTGAAATCCAGTTTTGCACTGAGTTGACCTATTTCTATTTAAATCCACTTTACAAGTGACATTGAATCAGTGACTAGGTGACAGGTGTATAATTGTCAAACTCTTTATTTTTGACAGTTTGGCCTAAATAATACTGAATGTAATCATGATTAATATGTTTAATCTAAAGATTTGTTTTAGCTTTTCGCCTCTATTAGAGAGGACAGTCTAAGTGTGAAAGGGATGCAGGCTGAAATTGAACCCATGGCTACTGAGGCAAGGACATTGCCTTCGTATGTCGCCACCAGGCGCCACACAATCAGCATGTTTCTGAACACCAAATCAAAACAAAATGACAGTAGAGTCTGACTTTAGAGCTTTAAAGGTGTGTCAAGATGCCAGTAGTGTGTGGGCTTACACAGACAGCAATGGTTGCAGGGGATTCAATGTGTAATGTGCCTCCAGTGTAAGTTGACTTTGACAGCAGAGACCATTGTTTGCATCCCATCTCCTACCAGCAGCAAACATTTTTTATTCTAACCTTGAAAGTGAACCATCTCTAACCTTGGCTGAACAAAACCTTTGATCAATAGACACTCAGCTTTGAAAGGCTTCGCCACCAGGGTCAGAGCCAGATGTTGTAAACATTCGGGGCTCGGCATAAACTTAGTGGGGGGTTCAGGTGCGTGCTACCCTGGGGAGATTTTTCCCCAACCCTATTTTTGGCATCTATATGCACCATTTTTCAGGCCATTTGAGATATTAAAATGCCTAAAAGTCTGTACATCATCTGGGAAAACATGACAGTTGCCATGGGAATACGTCTGATTTTGTTTCTAATTGTTATCAAACTGTCTTCATCATTCTGAAACCATAACATAAGAAATTTGTTGATTTTTTTATTGTCCATTGTGATCCACTGAAATTAATCGTGACTGATACTGTATGAATTCAGCTGTTAAATATGAAGAAGTAAACTAAAAAATCTACTCCAGTCGCTCAAATGATCGATTTTTGGTGTGGTTTCACTTTTACGTCCTGCTATAAAAATCTGGTATTTTTCAATGGAAACCTGTGCAAACTAAAAAAGGATGAGCCTGATTCATGTTGTATTTCTGTGCGGGAGATGCGGCACGTTGGCAGCCGGCCTGTCTGCTGTTTGTGTTTAAGCTTCACAAGTTAAACTGTGGTGACACTTTGACAGGTTTCCTGTTATAATAAGACTCCAAACCAGGTTTCTTCCCTCATCGTTTCCTGTCACAACTGTGTCAGTCTATTATGGGTTGTTGTTTTTTTTGTTTATTTTTTTTTTAGGAAACTGATGCTGTGTGTGTGTGTGTGTGTGTGTGTGTGTGTGTGTGTAGGTCTGCATCTGTGTGTGTGTGTGACAGACAGAGCCAGATGAGCAGGCAGATGTTTCCTCTGTCTCCACTCCGACTGTCTGAGAAAGACTGACAACAGCTGGACCAATGCCAGACACACACACACACACACACACACACACACACACACATGTAGACAAAGATACAGTGACACTGTTCTACCTCAACAAAACTGCACTGAGGTTTATCTTCACGCTTTATCTTTGCTTTGTTGTTTAACTTTTCTCCACCATACACTGAACTTGACCTTGTTGAACCAACATTATCTTTTCTTGCAGCGGATTCTGTAAAATGTTGCACTTAATGTATTCTTAGTTACTTGTAATATTATGTTTAGTTTTACATCTTACAATGTGAGGAGCACCTGTCACCAGATATTTGCTTCTTTATAAATGGTTACAACCCAAAAAAGTTGAAAAGAACTGGTTTAGATAATGAAAATTTAATGTTTTTTTTAATAACTAAGTTTCTTTAATTTTTTCATTTACAGTACGTAGTATTAATGTTAAAGATATTTTAGATTTCAAACTTCCCTCTGAGCCTCTGATTGGTTGTGATGCTATCATGTTTTTTCCTTGTGGAGCGTAAAACGATCTAAAGCTGCAACTAATTATTATTTCTAAGAACATATAACATATCACTTACAGACTTTTGGTTGGGGATACTTGCAAGCCATGAAGATTTAAGTTGACTGTTTGTAAAAATTCCAAAACATGGCAGAAAAACTGTATCTAATGCCTCTAAAACTTCCTTTTTTTACTGCTCAGACATCATTTCATCAAGAGGGAAGGACGAACCAAATCCTCCTCTAGAGAGCTACAGTCTGACTTGCTGCCATGTTGCAGTGCCAGCTGCCCAACTGGAGGTCCAGTCCGCTTAAAGTTGCTGTTCAGACCACCACAAAGAGCCACAGTGAAACACATGTGAATATGTGAAACATCAGACACTGCTACCTTAATTCAGAAAAGAAGCCAAACAACTCATTGACTGTGTCAAATCTGTGGAAGGAAAGTGTGACAGCTTCGGAGGACACAAGTAATATCCTCATAAGGGACCTCTTGAAGGGACAGAGGGCCTGAACCTCAATATTTATCTTGCAGAGTTACTTGAACATGCCACAGAGCGCTACAGCCTTGTCTTCGCATCAGTGAACGACCCAGATCTCTGCTTGTTAGATGTCATTATGACTGTCAGAAAATGCTGAGAAAGACGTTGTACATGTGGAACAGCGGATACACAGATTTCTCTGTAACATTGTCCTCTAAAAGAGCTGCGTTTGTAGAGATCTGCCATGTCAGGAGTGAGATATGGATTCATCTGTGTGTTTCGGGTAAGGATAACATTCACAGGAAAAGAGGATGAAATGTCAGTACCTGCTGTGAGACATATTACAGAAAAGGTTGTGCACAAAAACCTTTATCACACTCACAGCATGAGATCATCTAATGCAGAGTGGGACCAATCAGCTCGATGTGTGTTTTGTGCATTTTAAAAATGTCTGGATGTGTTATGACTTTAGCTGGACCCTGGCACCTCGGGTCAGGTGTGCTGTTAGTTTGGTTTCTAATGCCCCAAAAACTCACCAACTAACAAACAATAAATATTGTTAAGCATTGTTTTTTAGAGGTTTGACTGAAACAGGGAAGTAGAACAAACCAACGTATAGGAGGTGAGACAACAAATCAGAGAGGAGCTGTGGGTGCTGTGAGTGTAAAGGCTGAGTTGAACTGTACCATGTTGTTTTCTGTTTCTGTCTCGTTCTTTCCCTGCATGCTGTGGTCACTCTGTCTGCTGGTGAACGCTTCCCCTCTGAAAGAGAAACATAAAGCGAAATGTTTAAATACCTTTAGATGGGAACAACTGACTGACCTGAACACTGCAGTCAGCAAAATGAAACTCAGACTCTTTCTTTTACGTGTTTTCTCATCTGAATTACATCTTATTTTATATTTAACACATGTAAAACAGGTTTTTTAATTATGTAAATTTAATCAAAGTTAAACTAAATCAGTTATACTCAGTTATTTTGTCAGACAGGATGTGGAGTTGGGTACCTGTTGGACTGTTTTAATATCTTCTGTGTGAAACAGGTGAGTCTCTGCGTCTCTTCCTGGTACCGGTGCAGGTCTTGGGTCAGCAGGTTACGGAGTGTGATCAGTGCCTCTTCTTGGAACACCAACTTCTCTGATTGGAGCAAACGCTCGGTGATGGAGGCCTGTAGCTCTCGAAATGCACACAGCTGAAACTGAGGAGGACAAAAAAGGAACTACAGCGATCTCATTGGTTTACTTAAACAAATAAAGATGATTAGTTGCTGTTGAAAGCTGTGGTCCTAGAGTTCAAATTATTTAGTCACACTTTCCATATCTGGTTTCTGATTTTCGTATTGACTAAACGTGATTATATTATTGTGATAATCATCTCATCTGTGTAAATATGAACACAGAAAATGGCTCTGTGACTCAAAAGTCAGTCGTAGAAGATAGTAACAAATATCTATTTTCCCTTTTGAAAACCTATTCTTATTTCTAAAAAAGCTTTTTTAGATAACCATTTATATGCGATTTGTACCGTTATTATAGTTTTTGCTGCACACATTTTTCATTGTGTTTATTTTCTGATGTTTTACTCTCCAATGTTATAATTTTACTTGCATCATTGTTTAACCTTGTGAAAACTGCTCTATAAAATAAGATATCTGAGCCACCTAATAAATGTTTAACATCGGTCATATTTATTATATATCATCATATTTCAGCGTATCTCAGTAACATGTCCTCTTCTGCTTACTTTTTGACACAATGATATTCTTGTTAGTTTATTTAACCCACTGTCACCTGTGTGTAAGATATCATGTGGTCACTTACAGTGGACGCCTGAAGACTGGAGTTCCTCTTTAGCTCTTGCTCGGTCTGTTTCTTCTTCTCCTGAAGATTTAGAAGCTCAGTGGTCAGCGGCTGCTGGCGGCCTTCGATCTGCAAGAGTCTGACAACACAAATACAAAACATTTACAAAAATGCACCTTTTGAATTAGAATTCACGCTCAGTGTCAGGTTTGATGGCTAAAATCCACGAAACAGGACATATGCATTTAAATAAAGCTGGGCAATATGACTGGAAAGCTTTACTGTCGCATTCATCTTGATGACAAAAAAAGGTCATAATTTCTTACTTCATACTGGTCTGTTTGATTGTTTGTCCTAATTAATTACAGTATGATACCTTTCTGACATTGTTGAGTGTTTACAGATTGGCTTGTTGAAATTTTAGTTAGGTATCACTGGCCTCCAGTGCTATTACTTGCTTAGTTACAGAGGATTCAGACCCTATTAACTGAAAACTGCTATATGTAAAAACTCTCTTACAGGTCAGTAAGAAATTTGTAGTGTTGGTGACCTGAAAGACAAAAAAAAAAGTTTCATTTTCAGTGTTACTTCTAAACTTCAAGACTAATTTTAGAGTAAACATGTATCGCTGCAAATATTTTTGATTTTATTAGGTATAAATTGGCAGAAAATACATACTAAGCATGCAAAAAAGGGCCATCTATGCACACATTAAGATGAAAAGAAGTCTCTCATAAACTTTTCTTTGGTTCATAAAAATACCACCACATGTTAACAAGCTGATATGAAGCATATGTGAAAAGATATTGAATGTCAATGAACAACTGATAAAGAAAAGGAGCTCTGTCCTGGGAAGCCAAGCTATCATTCCTTATGGACAACATGTCCCATCCTATGCAGGACACTTTGACAGCACTGGGCAGCTCCTTCAGTGACAGGCTGCTTTACCCGCTGCGTTTGAAGGAGAGATACCACAGGTCCTTCCTGCTGCTGTCAGACCATACAACTAACACTGTTCCCAGTAGACCACACATACTAAATCTATGGACAATCAATCACCACTGTAATGTTGAAAATTTCCCCACCGTGGGATGAATAAAGGGTTATCTTATCTTAAAACAATAGCAAAATGCAAAAGATAGTCTTCCGTATTTGAGGCAATTACTGTAAATATGACATTTCTTTGTGAATGTACACAATGGGAGCCTTTACCCCTGAGGTGCTGCTGTTTTACAGTACATATTTTGCTTGAACACACACTTGAATTCAGTGACAACAGGACTGTTCTGTTCATATTTGTCTTCAAGCAGCTGAGAGATTTACCTGAGAAAACATCTACGACAGATACATCATCACATTTACTCTCGTTTCTGTTTTCGAGGTTTTTTAGAGCTACAAAATAAAGGTTAGTCATGGTCTTCAGATTTGAACAATCAACCCTCTGGTCTTTCTTCCTGATCCCTGAGAGCACTTTTCATCTGCAGATCTGAAAACCAGAACCGGCCACATTGCCACATTAAACATTCCTGACCAGTGGGCTCCTGCCACCCTCTTTGACATGAAACCGTCCCTTCCTTGAACAAACACAGTGGTGTTTTCATAGATACACACAGAGCTGAACAGCTGATCCAGAGCTAGTGATTCATGCTCAGTGTTTAAAGTCAACAGCAGCCCAATATTCAAAACCACGCTCACCACACGCTACAGCAGTAATCACGTGAACACAGCAGTTATCACACCTTCATGTACTATTGTTCCAGGATTACATTTTGCAGCAGTAGCTGTTGTAGTAGTACCTGTACTTGTACTACACTAGAGATACTACTTGTTGCAGCATTAATTACAGTTGTAATATTAGTCTGAGTTGCAGAACTTGTATTACTAGCACCAAGAGTAGAAGCAGAACAAATAGTAGTGCCACTAAAAAATAGGGGCAGTAGTATCTGTAGGATCAGTAGTAATAGCCTATATAGTAACTACAGTACAGTGCAGTATGGGTAATAATTATGGAAGTACTAGTGGTAGCAGCATGCGTGTAATAGTAATAGTACTAGTGTCAGTGTTTGTACAAGAGGTACAACTTGGTGGCAGTGGTAGTAGCCTATAAGTACTAGTAATACTGCTAGAAGCATTTGCACAGTAGTAGTACCAATAGTACTACAGTAGTAGTTGTAGTAATATTATCAGTTGTACTGCCACTACTGCTAGTGCTAGTACTATTAGTGCTGCTAGTGGCAGTAGAAGTAGTCATACTACTGGTAGATGTAGGTGCACTATCACTACTAGTTGACATAGCAGATAGCCGATAGAAGTTGTAGAAGTAGAGTTGGAGAAACTATAGTACTTGTTGTAGAAGTACCAGTGCTAGTGCTTGCACAATTAGTGATGCTAGTGACAGTAGAAGTAGCTGTACTACTGGCAGTAGATGTACTGAAGTAGCCCTGTAGCCACAGGACTAATAATACAAGTAGATATAAGTAGGCAAAGTTGTAGCAATACCCATAGAGGTTGTAGTGGTAAAGCTGTATCAACTAGTATTTGTTGTATGGCACCAGTGCTAATGCTTGTACTACTAGTGCGTCTGGTGGCAGTAGAAGTAGCTGTACTCCTGGCAGCAGATGTACTGTAGTAGCACTAGCAGCAGCACTAATAATTCAAGTAGGCATAGCAGTGTAGAGATGTAGCAGTACCAATAGAAGCTGTAGTGGTAAAGCTGTAATAGCTATAGTATTTGTGGTATAGCACCAGAGTTTGTGTCAAGTAGGCATGGCAGTGCAAAGATGTAGCAGTACCAACAGAAATTATAGTAGTACAGCTATAGTAACTATAGTATTTGTTGTAGTTGTATCACTGCTTATGTTTTTACTATTAGTACTGCTAATGGCAGTAGAAGCAGCCTACTACTGGTAGTAGATATACTAAAGTATTATTAGCAGCAGCACTAGTAATATAAGTGGGCAAAGCAGTGTAAAGATGTAGCAGTACCCAAAGAAATAGTAGTGGTAAAGTTGTCATAGCTCTAGTATTTGTTGTAGTAGTACCAGTGCTAGTGCTTGTACCACTAGTGCTTCTGGTGGCAGTAGAAGTGGCCGTACTACTGGCAGTAGATGTACTGAAGTAGCACTATAGCCACAGGACTAATAATACAAGTCGGCACAGCAGTGTAAAGATGTAGCAGTACCAAAGAAATTGTAGTAATACAGTTGTAGAAACTATAGTATTTGTTGTACCAGTACCAGTGCTAGTGCTTCTAATGGCAGTAGACGTAGCCATACTATTAGTGGTAGATGTATTGTAGCAGCTCAAGCAGCAGTGCTAATACTGGTAGGCGTAGCAGTGTCGTGGTAAAAGTTGTGGTAGTATTAGTTTTGTAACCTACTGCTGCCATTACTAGCAGTCAGTGTAATCGTAATTTAAGAAGCAACATAAGAATGATGGTAGGAGTACTAAGAGGAGGAATAATAACAGTCTACACACGAACTACAACAGGCAGAAATGAAGGCCTGAGTGAAACACTGCATTCATACCTCAGAGTGTGATTCAGCATGTGTCCACTGGGAGGCACTAACTCCCTGTAACAGGGTGTGAGAACAGCAGGTGACGAGAGGCAGAGAAGTGTTTTGTTTGCGAAGAAGGAGAGGAGGCTCTTCTGAGGAAAGCCTTTGATGAACTCACTGAAGAAGTGACATCAACATGTAGAGAAAGACAAATGAGTAAAAACGACACAAACAAAGGCACAGCAACACAAAGGCCCTCTGGGAAATATATTAACACTCTGTTAATGAGGTTTTCAAGGAGGCCTACAGACTCCGCTGAGGACAGAAACCTGAAGTAAACCTAAAAGATGAAGATGATGATGACTGATGTACATTCACTCTGTCCTCTTGGGATAAAGACAAAAGTAAATCTTAAACACTGGTAAAGAAAATGTCTGAGGGCAACAAACTAAGCATTAGATAGTATTGAATGTTGGATTTATGGATATTTTATTTTAAAAGCACTGGTATTCACCCCTACACTACTGACAAAACAATCAGTAAAAAAATTTTGTTGTTCCAAATGAAAGTCCTGTGTTCAGCTGCCTAAAGCATGACAACCATCTTTCTTTTCAAAGGAGTTTTAAAAAGAATTACAAACAATAAGACTCACACAAATTCACCAATGTCTTGAGGGAAAATTCTCAACAAGCTTTAGCGCATTTTTGGGGCTGGCTGCTGAGCCTGTTTTCCATCACCTATAACATTGGTGACACAATGTTTAACACGTGTGTCTACAAATCTGAAGAGTCAAGGTTCGGCTCCTGGATAAAACTTGAACTTGAACATGACTTATTTATTCCAACAGTCCTTCTGTAAAATGTAATTTTGGATTCATTTTTTCTCTCCACAAGTTTTTTTTAGTTATTAAAAGAAGTTTGGGTAGATTTGATTTTCTTTCATTGTAGTGTCATGTAGTGTCATTTTAACAGTTTTTATTTATCACTGATACTTTTATTTATTTTTTTATTTTTTTACATTTTTAATTGTGGTTTCATTGCTTTTTACTTCTCGCTGCTACCTTTATGTAAGTTCCTCTTTTTTTCTGTCTAAGTGCTTTTATTTTATATTGTTTTACTCAGCTACATTGTACGTAAATGAGGTCTCTACCTCAGTGTATTTCCGAGATAAAATAAAGGTTAAATAAAAATGCATAAGTAATTTGCCCGTCCTTAACATGCTAACAAGACACCATTAAAAAAAAGGAGGCAACAGAAACCAGAGTAATGACATAAATTACAAAAATATACTAAAACACAATCCTGTTTTTGCCCCAAGCTTTAGAAACAAAGATGCCAACTTACAAACATGAAGATTTAACATGCTTTCCATTCTGTCATGGTCAGAGCACCATTAAGTTTATTATGCTGATCTGTTCTGTACGACATCTATTGCACGTCTGTCCGTCCTGGAAGAGGGATCCCTCCTCAGTTGCTCTTCCTGAGGTTTCTACCGTTTTTTTCCCCGTTAAAGGGGTTTTTTTTTGGGGAGTTTTTCCTTATCCGCTGTGAGGGTCTTAAAGACAGAGGGATGTCGTATGCTGTAAAGCCCTGTGAGGCAAATTGTGATTTGTGATATTGGGCTTTATAAATAAAATTGAATT